TCAGAAATGATTCCCTGTAGATAAATATTTTTAAAAAGTATAGTTTATAACTAAGTAAATGTTTAAGTATTTCTACATAATAAATAACTGTTGTAATTATATTTTCCAATGTTTAAGACACGATCGGAGATGCGTGGAGTCGTACGTGGTACATTATACTGTGCGTTATGGTACGGCAGCATAGTGGCTGGTTTTTTATTTATCGCTTGCCCTATGTTACCGCTGTTATTCCTCAGTCCTCCGAAATTTCGAAAATGCGGCGATCGTTTATTCTCCTGCTGGGAACTCTATTCCACGGTAAGTAAAAGAAGCAGATAGTCTTCGTTCTCTCAAGAAGAAATTCATAAATCTCTGTATTGATTCCAGGCCCTTTTAAAAATGTTCGGTGTGAAAATCGTGGTCTCAGGGGATCATATATTACCGGACGAATCCGCTATTCTGGTAATGAATCACAGGACACGTGTAGACTGGAATTTTTTATGGGCCGCGATGTACCAGGCATGTCTGCCTAGTATAGCGGCTCATAGATTGAAGTTTGTTTTAAAGGACGCTATACGACACATTCCAGGGCCAGGTAATTAAATTCTAATATACAAAATGAAGAGAATGGATGTTTAATAGTATTGCCGATTTATACAATAATTGTGATTGTGTAACAGGATGGATAATGCAAATGAATGGTTTCCTTTATATAACGCGTCGCTGGGAAGTAGACCGAGATCGATTGTCGCGGACGTTAGATTATTTAGTGGCCCTCGGCAGACGCTCCCAGTTGCTTATATTCCCTGAGGGTACCGACCTGACGAAAACCAGCAAAGAGAAATCGGATAAATACGCGGTGCAACACGTTTTGCCGCAGTACACGTTCACGCTTCATCCGAAAACGACGGGGTTCAGTTATCTGGTTCGTCACCTTCAACAATCAAGCTACCTCGACGCGGTTTACGACTTAACGATAGGGTATCCCGATTACATACCGCAGACCGAGGTGGACCTGATTAAAGGGAATTTACCGAGCGAGATACATTTTCATATTAAGCGCATACCGTCGGCGGACGTGCCTACGCAGGACTTAACGTTGAGACGGTGGTTGGAAGACAAATGGTTCGACAAAGAACAAATATTGAATGAATTTTACCAGGAGAAGAGATTCTCTGCTGAAGCTTGGCCCTTAACGAGACTGCGCCCTTTATACGTTGCTTTCGTATTCTGGACTATTTTAACTGGTAAGATCATTCACCATCATTAATTTGTTTTATGATAGATCGTCACTTTTAAGAGTATTCTTTGTTCTCAGGCGCTGCCGTTGTGTTAATGTTTACTTCGCCGGTGTTTCAATTATGGGCACTGATCCATGCGGTGTTCTTCGTCGCACTGTCGCTGTTCACTACTGGTTTCAGTCAGCTCGAGATGGGATGGTTCTGGCGTTGGAAGTCGCACTTTTCTACAGCAAAGAAATGTAGTTAATAAAATATGAAAAGGAACTTACGTAAGTAAAGTCTACCAAATTGTTCGATTTATTTGTGTCGTATCACATTATTATAAATGTGCTCAACGTTTTCACAGAAAGTCTGCATATTTATGTGAATTTAATATAGAATTTATAGAATGGCAAGCCCATTCCATTTATTGATAGCACATTATTGACGTAGTGTCGAAATTTCATTTAAGCAATATACTCGTTACGTATAATTTAGTGTAAAATATATTGTTCGCAGCTAGTAAAAATTCCTTATTCCGATTACTTACGTGCATATAAGGGATTCAAGTAGCGTTAACAGTTTATTATGATCTATTCGTAAGATCTATTAACAAGGAACCAATATATAATCGATTCTGATGAAGTTTTATAACTTTGTATCTTCTTTTTCCCAGTCGACTGATTGTATGATAAAATTGTATTTTTCTTGAACACTGTGAAAACGTTACGAAACGGAGAATTGATCTCATAGGTATGGCATCACTACTTGATATATTGCAGTGTGCGAAACCGAATCTGTGGTACTGAATTTATTGATAGTGTAGAAAAAAATTGGTACTCTTTTTAGCAATTAATATTAATAGCTATCCCATCGACGATCCTGCATAATTACAGGATGACTACTTAGTG